ATATAGTTGGGTAAGAAATAAGAGAGAATTTGAAGGCTTGAAAAACAACAAGTTTAACTTATGGTCTTGTAGAGAGTTTGTAATGATAGAAAACTGATATTGGCCCTCTGTACATGGGGAATATTTTCAACAATAAAAAATTCAGATGCTAAGAAATATTTCCTGCTTAAAACTTCCTTTCTTTGCTATGACTTTTTTGAGACAGGCTCTCACTATGTAGCTTAGTTTGGCCTCATACTTGTGTCCTCCTGACTCAGCTTCCAAAAGGCTGAAGTAACAGATATAAGTCTCAATGCCTGGTTTTGCCCCTCTCTTTAAGGCACATGTGACCTTGCCATGTCTTGATCTCATATTAACCTTTCTTCTGTGCATTTGCAGTAACTAAATTCTCAAAAAGTATTTATCCCAAATGAGGAGGTTTCAGACACAAAATGTCTATATAAAGCTGAACTTTGACGTTTGTTTTCAGGAAGTATGTCAAGATTTTTTACCTTGAATTAAAGTGATATTTCTCAATGTCTGTGATTGCTCCCAGTCTTTCAGTCTGAGGTCGTTAGTGATGTTATTCAGTATTTTCACTTCCTTTTTTATTTCCTGTTCCACACGCACTTGCTCTTCTCTCATAGACTGAATTTCTGCTGATGCTTTGTGTACACTTTCCTCTATTTTACTGGTTTCCTATGAAACACAATGAGCACACACGACTTTTGTTACACACATAGTTAGAAAATATTTAAGTTCATGTTGTCTTGGTTCGGTATTTCAGTATTTGGAGAATACTAAAGGATAATAATATGGAAATTAGAACACTTAATCTTTAGCTGTGAAGCATTTCTTCCTCTGACTGCATGGTGGATTCAGGCTCCTAGACCAAACAAACAATAGTGGGAAATATATCTACAAAATTCTTCTGTTCCCAAAAAGAAAGACGTCAACATTCTAAGAAAAGGAAAAAAAAAACAAAAAACTTACCATGGGGTTTTTAATTTATCTGAAGTGACAGTTCTTTACAGTGTGTTTAGGGTAAGACACATTCCAGTTTTAGGAATTTGCTAAATTTACATAAGAAATTGTTTTACAGTAAGAACTAAAGTTCAATTCAATAATCAGTGAAAATGTCATGAAGTTGAAGTATAGATTTTCATATTCAATACAATGGCCAAGTTGCAGATTGGCAATTCTACTCTCAGTTTCACCGCCTCTGCTTTTGGTTTCCTTGATTCATGCTGCCAATTAGAAGTGCAATGACTATGTAGATCTTAAACTCCCAATTCTCGTCTCTAACCCCCCAATGTTGAGATCATAGGAATATAATACCATGTGTGCCCAGTGTGAGTAATTATTCATATGCATGCTATGCACATAAGAGAATATGTTTGCAAGAGAGAAGACCATCCTCTTTCTCTTTCACTTAATATTTGGTCTATCTTGATTACATACTATGCTGGAGTTACTCACAAAGGCCTTTTTCTTAAAAACGTATTTTCTGATTTGGCCATTCCTTTAATTTACTTATTGCCTCACTGGAATAAAGATTCCAAGAGAGTACTAACTCAGCAGGGAGTGCTTTCTTGGCATGTGAGACCCCGAGTATGGCCTTCTGAGCACTTTGGTTCCCCCCACATAGTGACTAACAACTGTTTGTAACTCCAGTTCTAGGGGATCCTCCACCTTCTTCTGGCCTCCATAGACACTGCATGACATGGGTGCACTTACGCACATGTAGGCAATAACACTCATACACATAAAATGAAAATAAATAAAAATCAAAAAGTTCAATTTTGTAAGATATCCAAATAAATAACATTTCTATTATTTTGATAATGAAAAAATATTGAATCGGTTATAAAATTCACAAATACAGAGTTCCATCCCTCTGCACCTGCTAAGGTAATCTGATTGTTTTAGACAGTCTAGCAAAGCACTATGATAGTATTAATAAAATTAAGAGAGTTTAGAGCCAATGAAAAATAATTTCTGTTTTGTAAAAGGTCTAGAGACAGCATCAGGTAAATCCATTGGAACCGCTTACTAAGATTGTCAGAGGAGTCAGGGTGGATAGGGTAATATAGAAACAGGGTTTGCAACTTTTACATTCTTGGATTACTTAATGAAATCCTTTGTGGATTTAGTTCCAAAATATGACTGTGAATCACAGCAACTCTTACCTCTTGATGCTTAACCATAGACTCAAGAACTTTGCTGTTCAGTGTCTCTGTATAGAGCTGCAAATCAAGCAGTGTAGTATTCAGACGTAATAAGGATTTGGAGATTTCATCTATTGCATTTCCATGTTCCTGGACTGATGAATTCAAGAAACTGAGTTGCAGAAGAACATCATTAAATCTTTGGTCGAATGTCATACTGAAATTCTGGAAGCACTCCGAGTTTATGAGATTGCCTTTTGCTTCTGAAATGTACTGGAGCCTCTCCTCGATGCCATTCATGTGTTTCATGACAACTTCTCTAAATCCCATTTCAGCTTCACTGGTGGTGTTGTTTTCTCCCATCAGACTTTGAGATATATCACTTGTATTAATTGAACCAACTTCCCACTTCAGAAACCGAGCTGCATATTTAAATAAAGATAAATCAAGTCATGGTCTGGATCCTTAACTGCACACACTAATCCTTTTTATGGCAGTGCATTCCATTCTATTGAAATATATTGAATATAAGCCTTAATCATGATTATTTTAAGTATACATTATATGGATTGCACTTGGTAGTTTACTAAGAAGCTGACAGGTTCATTTTCCCATTTTGTGTAATATTTTATCCAGGATAGACCATTCTTTGTGAATTGATGCTTATAAGTCTTCTTGGACACTGAGTTTTCGTTGTCAAATAGAGAAAACTCTACATCCTGAAATGTATTGTACCCACTCTGTGGACTACTGTTAGAAGAAAATGAGATCATGTTCACCAGCTGTTCTGAGATTAGCATGTGGAAAGTCCTTTTTGTTAAGATGGCAATGACTACAACAATGTACAGGGAAGTGTAAGAACAGTGTCATCCACTCTAGAGACAGGTAGTTGGTTCATCTTTTGTGACTTATCACTGAAGCTATCAAAAAATGGTCACCCTAATACAAGTAGGAATCATAGTAAATTAGTAAAATGCATTTGTTCTCTTTAATAGTACTGGGCATGGTGGCACACACCTTTAATCCCAGTACTCAGGAGGCAGAGGCAGGTGGATCTCTGTGAGATATAGACTAGCCTGATGTATATAGTGAGTCCTGACCAGCTGTGGCTACAGGGAGATACTGTCTCAAAAACATAGAACAGAAAATGCCATTTTCATTAGCATATTTTCTTATTCTTTTAATTTTTAAGAATTATAATTTTTGTTTTATATGTATGTGTGTATTGCTTGCATGTGGGTAGGTGCACACATATCATGCAATACCTGTAGAGGTCAAAAGAGGGTTTCAGTTACCCTGGAACTGGAGTTACAGACTGTTGGTTGTTAGCTGCCATATCGTCCTTTGCAGGAACAATTAGTACTCTTAACAGCTGAGCAATCTCTCCAACCCCATCATTAGTGTATTCTTACCTATTGTAAAGTGTTTAGTTATAGCAGAAAATTTAGAAAATATGGGTAATAAGGAAAATTAATTTACCATGTATTTTACTACTCAGTTGAACATTTTGCTGAATATTTATCAAATCATAGCCTCTGTTTTCATCATAATATGACCAATATATATTTAAATATGTGCGTGTGTGTGTGTATGTTTGATTTTGAAACAGACCCTCATCATGTAGCCCAGATTGGCCTTGAAGTTGCTCTATAGTCCTGGCAGACCTCAAACTCCTGACCCTCCTACCTCTGCCTCTCCAGTGTTGGGATTACAGAGTCTGAATATTAAATTTTAATTTAGCTATTCATAAACAATTTTAATATTCTTTAATAATTTTTAATGCAATGATTGATGATTGCATTCTATTTTATATATGAATATGCCAGACTTTTTACCAATTCCTTACATTAAGTTTGTTTTTGTTTTCAGTAATATGATCAATATTTTGATGAGTAATCTTGTGATGAATTAAATGTTGAGAAAAAGTTCTATTAAATGGACCATACTGAGCTGCTGATATATATTTCCAAATGGGCATATGTTCTCTAAATGAGATAAATATCCTTTCAAAATGATCTACAATGACATGCTCTATAGTTTATGAAAAAAAAGAAAAATCACAACATTGACCTTGAAGATAAGAGTAACACAATTATAATTATACATGGAGAAATAACAACACAAATCTATTATCACTTATCAAGTATGAGTGTTTTGCCTGTGTGTATGCATGTGCACAATGTGTGTGCAGTATCTGCAGAGGACAGATGATCATGTTGGAACCCTAGAACTGGAATTGCAGATAGTTGTATGCAACTGTGTGGGTTCTGGAAATCAAACCTGGGCCCTCTGCAAGAACAGTAAGTGATCTTAACTGCTGAGTGATCTCTCCAACCCCCACATGCGTACATTATATTGCATTCATACATCCTTCTGCATTAATGCATCATTTATATTCTTATCAGCCCAATGCATAAGATTTTTCACACAAGACATTATCAAGCACTAATACTGCATCATATTTTTATTGCATTATAGCTGAATGTGTTGATTATCTTTATAAAACTTACATGGTAGTTATACTAATTTTAATAGATTTTTCATAATTAAGTAACATAATACCCACTTATTAATATCCCTAACTCATTGTTTACCTTGTCATATAAATAATGACATTGAGTGTCATAATCATTCCATTTAAAAAATGTGTCATATTGTCCCTGCTTGCATTTCTGTGATCTTAGCTTATTTAATTTATAAGGTATGGGCAACAACACTTTGATTTTATCTACAACATGAGACCATATAGATTGAAAATTTATCAATAAACTAGACATAAACATGTATCATAAAAATATATAAAATCTCATCATATTTAATAAACTCAGAAAGGGAAAAAAGCTGTCATGTAATCATCAACTGAAAGTTTTATGTACTGAGCACCTGTGATGTGAAGCATCACTGAATAGCTCCAATTAAAAGCCTGACCAGGAATGGATAGTGACTTTAATTTTTATTCATTTCTTTATTTAATTTTATGTGTATGAATGTCTTGCCTACATGCATGTAAGTGCAGTGCATCTGTGTCATGCAATGCCCATGAGGCCAGAAGAGGGCTTCAGATCCCCTGCAACAGGAGCTACAGAAAGTTGTTAGCAGCCATTTGGATGCTGGGAACCAAACCCATGTCCCATGCAAGAGCAGCAGTGGTCTCAACCTCTAAGCCATCTCTCCAGCCAATGAATTTTGTCTTTCACAATTTTTTTAATGTTTGAAATTGCCCCATGATGATTATTGCTTCTTTTGGGAAGCAGCAGTTATTACTCTAAGATTGTAGTGGAACTGCCAGTGTTAACAATTATGTCTCTGTCCTAAATAAGCTGTGACATTGGAGAAGTTACTTAATCTGTTCATGATTCTTTTGCCATCTGTGTAAATGGAATAATAATATTAATCAAATGAAATATATGAAAAGTACATAGACCACTTCCTAGGACATAATAAGTACTTTTGATAAACATCAGGATTTGTATTATTATTTTGTGTTGACATGTCATCTCCCTTTACATTCCCAATAGTGATTAATTATGGTGGCTTAATATTATCCAATATAAAAATATTCTGGAGTTAGATATTTCTATGATCATAGCAACTCCATTTTACTAAGCCAGTGCTCTAGTTGTTTGATCATATAACTTCACCTTGAAAACAAGCTTGCCATATATGTATATACAAAGTCTTGTATTCAATCATCACCAATAACTCGTAATCAACATATTAACAAAATAAGTAAATAAGCAAATTAAATCATTTTTTAAAAAATAAAGATGAACTCTTTATAATACAGCTAGGTAAAAATGAAATTTGCAGACAAGTGTACCTATCACCACTTATCAGAGAAACTTTTTTTGAAAAAGGTGATGTCTAGTGCAATGTTCCACAACTGATCAAATGCAAAGAATAAATATCTGTGAGGTGCCAGCCGTAAGTGACACATTTACAATGCAGCCTCTATACCTGAGGGTCAGGGAACACTGCAGAAGAAGGATCAGAAATGTGATATCTAACAGAAAATAAAGAACGTCAGATGTTATAGTTTCAAAAGTTCACTTCTTTCATTTTTCCAGGAGGGACAGCATCCTGTGACCTCTCAGTTTCTATACTGAAAGAAAACAAGCTTTCGTGTCAGACACAGAGACGTAGACAGAGGGTGATATTTGCTTCAACAGATCATGTTTAAACTTTCATGTTAATAACGTTTTCTCCTAGCCAAAATTTATATTATTTTAAGAGACTATTACTTTTATTAAGAGCAATTTACAGACACATTTCTAGATCATTTCTTACTGCTCTGGTCTGGCACTAAGCTATTCTCTGTCAGCGATGCTGCGGCTTCTTCATGGCTTATGGAGTTAACCATGCAAATAAGGTAACATCTTTCTACATATGAGTTTCTATAATTAGAATAGCTTTTACGCTCAGCATAGTACTTTGGTCATCAATTAGTACATTCTAAAACAGTTTTTATAATTCTGCATTTGTAATCAATCTTTTGATATGGAGCCTGTAATACATTTTAGTTCCTTTTTGAAAAATATTCTGATTCAGCACTCAGTTATAAATGAATTAATAATTGCTTATGATAGGTTCAATGAGTTCTGCTTCAATTCTGGTGAATTTTGTACTGAAATAAATTTCTAAGATTGGAACATTTACAGAATCAATAAAAATATTATTTTAAAATTTGGAACATTTACTTCTATCAATCTTAGTAGCGCCTAATGTAATTTTAGGAAACACAAAACTCCAAATCAATCATTATCAACTCTAGGCCAAATACTTGACTTAAGAATATTTTCTAATAACCCAGGAACTTTGAACTTGATTAGAGAACAGATTACTTTCCTGACTTCTTTGTGCCTCAAGGGCCAGCCTATCAGAGCCTACCATCCTTTAGGTTGCCTTTGTAGTTTTGGGGTTTACATAAGAGACTCCAGTGGGTGAACTTGTACTGAAGGAAAAATGCTTGACTGGATAATACTCAGCATATATGACAGAGTGCATGAGGTCCAGTGGGGGTAGTATGTGAGGACCTGGATGGGGGAGGGGTCTAAATTGAATTAAGAGCTACTATATGAAATGCACAAAAACTCAATAAAATATTAAAAATTTTAAGAGAGATTAAATTTATCTAAATTCTAACTGTACTATATCTAATAATCCCAAGCAAGGATGCATATTTCAGGTCCATATTTCAGACCATAGATGAGCATATGTGCATGGACAAATGCCAATGCCCTTCATCGTGAGGACTCTGCTGATAGCAAAAACATCTGTTCCCTTTATGAATGACTGTCTCTTGCTTACTGGATGGTTTTTGTTTTCATCTTTTTTAATGGACAAAACAGCTAATATTTTCTTGGATAATGTTATGACAATTCTATTTTCTGGCCATTTATATTTTATTATAAAAACCCAATTATACTAGGAGAGAGTAGACAAAGGAGGTTAGGGTAGAAATCATAGGTAGAACTCCTGCTCCATTACTGCGGAGTTGCAGCTTTCTGTTGTGGATAATGAAGATAATTATAGTGTCTGCTGAAGGGAAATTGTAAAGATGTATTAAGATAATATGTTGAAAGTTTATAGCTCAGTGCTTGGGCATAGTAGATGATGTAAAATGATAAAATGATAAGATACTTTTACAATTGTTGATTACATTATCCTTTCTTATTGACTGGAATTTTGAATCTGTTTTGAGATACTAACCTTAGATTTCCCCTTAACAAACAAAAGTTGGTGTTGCATTACGAATATCTTTGTGTTAGGTAGGTTAGTGTGCACATAAAAACGATATTTTTCCAAGCCTTTCTCTTGATGAAGGATATGGTAAATATTTTTCTTAGTCAAAGAGATGAGGGAAAGAAAGCACAAATGAATTTGAATGTCAATTTAAAGCCATCAAATCTAGTCTGGAGATGTAGCTCAGTTGGTAGAGTACTTGCCTAGCATGTGTGAAGCCCTGGGTTGAATCCCCAGTACTGCATGAACTAGATGTGATGCCAGCCCTTGATCTCAGCTGTGAGAGGTGGTGGTAAAATGATAAGAAGTTCAAGATCATTCTTAGCTATATAGCATATTGGGGGCCAGCCTGGAAATGTGATACCCTTACCAAAATAAAATCTATTAAATCCATCAAAAATACTATCCCCAGTTCAAGTCAGACTTCCCAGGGTTATATATTCCTCATATGGAACCCAAGTAATATGATATTTTGGCTTAGTTTCAGAAAATAGTATTATGTTAAAATAATAGTTCACAAAACACATATTGACAAACTACGGACCATTATTTTATAATAGGAATATTACTGTCTACTTTCAGTACTTAGAAGATTTTGTGAACACTAGGCATACTTGTAGGACAGGTGTGTCAGTATAAATGATCCTGCTTGTTTGCACACTGCCGTCAGCAATTACTCTTAGGTATGTTGTGATCCATTGCTACAGGACTTAGGAGGATAATATACTTTAAAAATTTTAAATTTATTTTTATTTTATGTATGTGAATTTTGCCTCCATGTATGTAAGTGTGCCATATGGATGCAATGCTCATAGAGGACAGAAGAGGGCGTTGGATCCCCTGCCCTGGATCTGAATTATAAAAAGTTGTTAGCCACGATGTGGGTGCTGGAAAACAAACCTGGATCTTCTGCAAGAGTAGCCAATGCCCTTAAATACTGAGCCATTTTTATATCCCCAGGGATAATACATTTTTGTAATAGTTTAAATCTTCACATCTTAACTTTCTTAGGTCAATATTTTATTTTTTTCTTTTGCATTTTATTATTCTAATTAAAGGAAACTCTGTGTACTTAACATTACAGAATATATTATTAATTGAATATGATGGGGCTGGAGAGATGGTTCAGCAGTTAAGAGCATTGGCCATTCTTGCAGAAGACTTGGGTTTAAATACCAGCACCCACATGGCGACTAATAATGTAAGTCCAGTTTTAGGGGATATGACATCCTTTTCTGTCCTCCACAGGCACTGCATGAGATGGGTGCACTTACACACATGCAGGTATAACACACATAAAATAAAAATTAATTAATTGAATTTGATAAATGTGAGGTCTACCTTGTATATGAAGTTCTTTTATGAATCTACCACATAGTGCTGTGGTTTTACTTTTACAGTAAGCAAATGAATTGCAGTTTCAAAATTCTGGAATACTGTACCTGCCACTATTCCAATGATAGGTATGAGAACTGCAAACACAATAAGATAAAGGACAATTAAGGCAGCTTTGAAAGACTTCAGCTTCTCTTGAAGGGCAGAGCCATTCTTAGGATCTGAAAAAGAAGAAAACAAAATGCCAGTTAGATAATAGAAAACGTCATCTTCTCACATGATTAAAAGTTTTATAATTGGGGATCGAGGAGAATCTGTGTGCAAAGTGCTTGCTGCACAAATAAGAGGGTTTGCTTCCAGATCTTCTAGATCTTCAACTGTAACCCTTGCCTTGGCAGGGTGCTGAGAGAAGGATTTTTAGGTTCATTGGCCAGCTAGCCTAGTAGAACCAGCAACCCTCAGTTTCAGTGAAATAAGATAAATAGTAGTAGAGGACGACACTCAATATAGACTTCTGGTCTCCATATGCATGAACAGGTGAGCATATGGAGGCATATACCACACACACACACACACACACACACACACACACACACACACAAAGACACAACCTTATGTAATCTCTGGCTATATTGTTATAATCAAGCCTATCTATAAAAAAGAGACAAACATAACATTCTTCTTAATCCAGCAGGTATAAAATAGAGATAGTTATGGGAAAAATCAACCAAAGTAACGTGAATATTTGACTGAAGGGAACGTAACATTAATAATTATATATACAATCACATATTTTATTTTAGATACTTCACATGAACTGTATCCTGGGCAAAGTAAAATTCATTAAGTAACTAGATAATTGAGATTTTTTTCATATTTTAAACCAGATCACAGAAAAACATTTTAGCAACCATTGTATAAAGCAGATTTTCTTAACTAGTTCCATCAGAATAGCTTTATATTAGATATGTCTTATTACTGAAATATAATACTGAATTTATTTTAAAAGGAATAAAAAAGTGATTTATTTTGACCTAACTTTGGAATGTATTAGTAAAACCCATTCTCTGGATATTTCCAGATGTAACAAGAGTAACCTCTGTCATACATTGTACAGAACAAGAATTTGTATAATGAGATTTTAATTGTAGTGAAAATATGTTGATACAGAAGGAAAGCAGTTGCTTCAAAAGACTTTTTTCTGATAGGTGAATGAAATATTCACTAAAATTTCTTTAATTTTTTTCATTTTATATGGCCATTTCTTTTATTGTTCAAATGAAACGATTTGAAAAAATTCTAAATGACTCACAAAACTGAAGATTATTTATACATTTAGTTAATTACTGTATTTTGGTGGGGGGTGTTCTTGTTAATGTATGTGCATGTGTTGGGGGCTAGGGTGTGCATATGGCTGCTGGGGCCTGTGGAGGTCTCAAGTCAATGCTTGAGTGTCTCCTTGATAACTCTCTACTCTTAGCTTTTGAGACAGTCTATCACTGAACCTGTATCTCATCAATTTAGTTAGATTGGCTCAGGAATTTCCCCCTTTTACCCCCAGTGCTGGGGTCCTGTAACCTTAGAGCCCCTCAGTTTTTTATACATGCTTCATGGAGAGCCAACCTCAGGCCCCACATATGCGTGGTAGTCACTGTACTGAATAATTCATTTCCCCAACCCTTTTTTTTTTTTTAGACAATATTCATGTAGTCCAAGTTGTTCTTGCACTCACAGTACAGACAAGTATTGCCTTGGACTCTTGATTCTCTTGCTTGTACCTCCTAAATGCTGTGATCATAGATACGCATCACCTCACCAGGCTCTGTTCAATTATGCTTTGTGAGAGATTGGAAGGAAGATAAGTGAACAACTTTTTTCATTTTAAAAAATTATCTCGGAGAGTTTTATGCAATGTGTTTTGATCGTACCCCTCCCATTCCAACTCCTTTCAGATCTGCCCTTACCCACCACGCACTTACTTTTGTGCCTTTTTTTTTCATTAGGTCCAATTAATGCTGCCCAACTATCCTTGAATGAACATTTTTAACAAGTAATGTCAAGAAAAGGAAAGGAAAAGAAAAGGAAAAAATAAAAGATTAAGGGGGAAACTAAGAGGAGCAACCACAAGATAAGTAAGATGGGCTTGCCAATGTTTCACTGAAACCTGTGAGTCAATAACTCTTTCCTCTTGTTTAGTATTAGAAGTTCTGTGAATGCTGCACTTTGGAGCTCTCAGAATTGTTTGTTCTTTGCTCTGCTCTCGATACCTCATTCAATTTTCTCAAACACTCATCATTTCTGTCTAACACAGCTCTTATATGATCAATGGAATGTGTGTGTGTGTGTGTGTACATGCAAGCCTTTGCGTGTGTGCATGGGGGGGGGCAGGGCGTAGGCAATTGTGCTTGTGTGTATGTGTGTGGAGGCCAGAGGCTAATGCCAGGTGTTGTTCCTCAATCACTACTCCACCTTAATTTTGATACAGGATCTCTCAATGAACCTGCAATTACAGATTCATCTAGGCTGGCTGGCCAACAAGCCTCCCAGGGATCCTCCCAACTTCCCAACATTGGGATTACTCTGTGTATTGCCACATCTGACTTTCATGTGAGCACTGGGGATCTTAATTCATGCTTGTGAACTCACTGTGATCGTTTACCTTTGTGTATGCTGCTTCCTCTATCTGGAACTTCACTATAATTCCTCCCCACCCACCCCACTCTCTCAGATATAGGAATGCATTCTTCAATGTTTAGCAAAATGATGACCAATTCTGTCCTGTCACCTTAAACAAAGCTGGTTAGACTCAGCTGAAAAGTGCTTCTTTTGTCATAATCTGTTTCATTTCTTGTGAGTGGAACTGTATCTCCCAGAAGATGTGCTAAAGTTATAATTCTAGATAACTATGAAGGTAATCTTAATTGGAAATAGAACATTTTCAGATGTATTTAATTTGATAGACGTCATTTTGTGGGAGGGTGGCTAATCTGCTGATTAAGGATCTTCATACGAAGAGAAAGGAATGCAGAGTTACATAGGGAAGAAAACAATTTGAAGGAAGCAGAGGGTACAGTGATTCAACTACAAGCCAGAACACCAAGAACTATCAAAACCTTCAAAAGATAGGAAGAGACATGGCCTTTAAAGCATATGTGAGAGAAGAAATCTCTCCTGTTTTAAGGCACTCCATCGTACCCTCTGCATTACCCTGTCCCTGTTCTACTTACTGGGAAGAAGCGATGTTGTCATGGAGCGGGCATCGAACTTCACAGATTCTGAGCAGCTGTCAGCATCCTCTACCTCACCAGGACAGACACTCTGCTGCTCCACGCTCTGCCAAACACATGAGAAATACAAGAACTTCATATGAAATGGCTAGGACCCTTTTGCATGGTATTTTAAATAAAGATGTATAAATAGAATTCTATTTTAGCAAGGAAGTGTATAAATAAGAGAACAAGTCATATACAGCAATATATTAAACTTTCTCAAGACTGTAATTGAAATATAAAAAGTCAGATTTATGTGCCTGCAGAGATAGTGCAGTTAGTGCAATGCCAGCTGTCTAAACATGAAACCTGAATTTGGATGACCAGCACTCACCTTAAAGCTGGAAGCGATGCAACCTTAGTGCTCAGAAGCAGAGATAGGAGGATTACTAGAGCTTTATGGTCAGCTAATCTAGCCAATTAGTGAGCTCTGGACTCAGTGGGAGACCCTGTCTCAAAATATGTTAGAGAGAGACAGAGGAAGACATCCAGTGCAAGTGGTCAACTTGCCTCCACATGCAGGTACATACATGGTTATGTGTACTCTCAAGCACATATGTGCATGTAACAAACATACACTTAGACATCCACTACACAAACATAAATTTAAAATATTATTAATTTTTATTTTATGGGTATGCATGTTTGGTCTGCGTGTGTTTGAGGAGGTCAGAAGAGGGCATTGGGTCTCCTAGAACTGATAACTGGCTGTTACCTGCTGTGTGGTTGCAAGGAACCAAACCTGGTTCCTCTATGAGAACAGTCAGTGCTCTTCATTGCTGAGCCATTTCTCCAGCCCAAACAAAACATTTTTTAAATCAGACTTATGGTGAACCTATTCACATATCATTCTCTGTACAAATGTGTACCTGCTTATAGATGTGTAGATTTTTAATATGAGAAGAATTAGCTTTACTTTTCTAACTTAAAAAAAAAATCCATGTGACAGAAAATATCTGGCTGGAAAGAAAAAAAGAGTTTCCCTTAGAACAAATAGTTGTAGACATTCAGAACAAATATTTCCTGTGAAGTTCTGGACTGACTATATTAAATGTGGGAGACAGGCTTGAGCCTAGGGTGAAAGCCTTATTGACAGCCATACAGCAGGCCTGAGGTAACGGTCTGACTGCTGGAGCCACAAGGAATGCCTTCTGACATTTTTCTCCCATTGGCAGATCATGAGACTGATGCCTAGAGCTCACCACTCCCTAATCACCACCCTTGGAAACCTCACCTTTAAATTACTTGCTGTGCTGTGCACCACCCTTGGATACCTCACCTTTAAACTACTTGCTGTGCTGTGATTGGACCACTACCCTTGTATAAGCTTGTGCCTTCCTGCAATAAACCAGATCTGTGTCACTGAACCCGGCCTCCTGTGTCTGAATGCGGCTCCGCTGACAGTCTCCTCACCAGCCCTGGCGTTCAGACTGGACAACTGATAGGAGGAACTAAGAGAGCAGGAGAGTGGCCATAGCCAGAGGAGGGCAGCCACAGCAGGCAACCACAACTGGCACCCAACGTGGGGCATGAAGCCTCCTGCCCCTCGGAGCTGTAACACACTGAGCAGAGCTCCCAAGGCCCCCTTTGCCAGTGATTCTTCTGTGGGTGCTCGCCACTTTTGTTCTCCTGTGCTTCTTCTGGCTCGCAGTCTTCAGTTTGGCGTGTAGTTCCTGTCTTCGCTGATCATCTTCCTGAATGGTTCCTGAGTCCCTTTGGGTAAGTCTTCCAGGGTGAGTGACCTCCGTTATGGGGAATACTCATCCAGCTTCTGCCAGCCCCTGCACTGCTGCACTGGTTTCTCTCCTCAGGAAGAGGCAAATTAGGGTAACAGGAAAGGATGTAATTAAGGTTTTAGATGAAGCACTAGCTCTAGCCCCCTGGTTTACAGATCCTTGTTGCTGGGATCCTGAATAATGATTTTATTCTTGGCCTGGCGTAGAGAAGTGAGGGAGGGATGCCCACAGTCTGGGCTGTTCTACCCCATTGTGGCAGCCATTCTGGCCTCCCTTCAGGGGGTTCCCCCCAAAGCCCCTGAACAGGACAATCCCCTATTTATGGAGATAGATGAGCAAATACAACAACAGGATGCTGGGGATGGCCTGTCCCAGGCATTTCCAGTTAAAACAAAACTGATTCTTGTTCTGATAAAATTATGACTATTAATGATGATATTAAAAATGAGGAATTGGGGTTTGAGAGCTCCCCTGATGAAAAACAGGAAGTCAAGAACGCCTCTGCCCCACCATTACAGGGTGGTGGCTACTTTCCACCATCTTGTATTGGCTTTGATTAAAAACAGGAAGTTAAGGCAGCCTCCGCTCCGCCATTACAGGGTGATGGCTACTTTACGCCATCTTGCACTAGCTTTAAGGAAGTTCCCCCCCAGTCCATCTACCCCTCCCTTCCAGAGGAGGACTGGAAACCCCTCCCAACTAGGCCCCTCTCCTATGATATTATGGGTGAGTTTCTACAGTTTTTCCCAGTTACCGTCAATCAGGGACTACAGAACCCTAATGTCTGGAATCCATATTCTCATGATACCTTAAGGAAGCTGCATAAGGCAGCAGTTAAGGATGGCATTCACTCCCCCTGGTTTGGTCAGTTATTAGATACAATCAGTCATCTGGCCAATACCCCCAATGATTGGCAGAATATCACCCGTGCCTGCTTACAGGGAGGTGATTTTATTTTATGGAAAGCTGCTTACCAAGACGAATGTGAAAAATAGGAAGAGCGCAATAGAAATGCCAACATCCAAAACATTGGAATTGATGCTCTAGTAGGACACGGCAATTTTGAGATCCCCCAAGCTCAGGCACAGGGACCTCCCTGCTACTTTGAGCAAGTACGGCTTTGCATGCTTCATGGTTTTTGAAGTGTGCCGACTCACAGTGATACCAGATTAACTAAATTAATACAAAAGCCAGGCAAGTCTTTCTCTGATTTTGTTGAGAGATGCCAACAAAGTATAAATAGAAAGATCAGTCATCAGGGAGCTGCCAAAGCCTTGCTCAAGGATCTTGTATATGAAGGCTGCTCTACAGAGTGTCACCTTGCCATAGGACCCGTTAGACACAAGGATGTCTCTGAATGGATTCTGGCCTGTCAAGATGTAGAGACTGCTTGGGCCCATGCTGCAGCCCTTGCTGAGGCACTGGCTGCTCATCAGCCTCAGGCAGAGATGGAAAAAGGCAAATCTAGGGCCTGTAGGGGACAGGGCCATTGGTCACGTACCTGTCCTAATAAGATTATGAAAGAGGCCATAAGGAGCCTGGTCCCCCCTTCAAATGCCCAAGATGCCACAAAGGCTTTCATTGGGCAAGAGAATGTGGATCTAAGGTGGATGCAGATGGTAAACCCATACAAAAGCTGCCTTTAAATGGGCAACGGGGCACCTCTCAGCCCCACCCCAAAGAGAGGAAGTAAGGGAATACACCCCCATGTCCAATGGACAATGCCTATTGATTTGCATAAGCCTAGGATGCAACTTTCCCTAGATGGCCATAAGTTTAAAGGCCTAATTGATACAGGGGCTGATATTACTGTAATCAGACAGGAAGAAGCCTTGTCTCATTGGCACCATAAACCTGGACCCCCTATACAAGGTGTTGGGGGCTTACAAAATACTTTACAGGTCCAACGTCCTGTGGTCTGGACTGACCCGGATGGCAATACAGGAGCTATTAAACCACTCCTAGCTGCAGGGCTTCCTCATAAGGGGCCTGTGGGGGAGAGATATCCTCTGCAATATGGAGGTTGTTCTAACTACCAATGACAAAGCCTTTTATGACGACCGTGTTGTAGACCAGCAGTTAGTTAATGCCCTCCACCCTCACCCCCAATTCTAACGGCCACTGCTCCGCTGCCCAAGCTGCTCCCCCCATCAAACTAACATGGGACACTAAAGCTCCCATATGGGTGGAGCAGTGGCCTCTTCCTTCACATAAATTAGCTCATTTGATCTCCTTGGTCCAGAACAGTTAACCTTGGGTCATACTGAGCCCTCACTTAGTCCTCATAATTCTCCCATTTTTGTTATACAAAAGAGATCAGGAAAGTGGAGACTTTTACATGATTTAAGGGCTATTAATGAGCATATGAAGCCTTTAGGGACCCTTCAAATGGGAATGCCTCACCCTACCTCTATTCCCAAAGAGTGTGCAATTATTATTATAGATATTAAGGACTGTTTCTTTTCTATTCCTCTTCATGATGATGATAAGCCCTATTTTTCCTTCTCTATACCTGCCACTAACCATAACCTTCCAGTTCAATGCTATCAATGGACGGTTTTGCCTCAGGGCATGAAAAACAGTCCTACTGTATGCCAATATTATGTGGCCCATGCCTGCAGACCTTTGCTGACTGAGGTTTATATTTTACATTATATGGATGACATTCTTATCACCCATAAGGATCCTAAGATCTTACAAGGAGCTTTTCAAAAACTCAAAAGAAACCTCCAGGCATTAGGTCTTACTCTTGCAGCAGATAAAATACAGTTACATGCCCCTTATACCTTTTGGGGCCACTCTATTCAAGACGTCATCCAGCCCATAGCTCCTGTTCTTACCTTACCAGATGAGATTACACTTTCAGAGGTGCAAACCCTCTGAGGCAATATCAATTGGATATGGGGCTTCTTACCCATGTACACAAAAGAGCTTACACCACTCTTTGGCCACTTGCGGGGTACTGATGTGGTCTCCACCCCCTGCAAGGTCTCTCCAGAGGGACAACATGTTGTCACAATGATCAATTCTCACCTGTCCCAAGCATTTGTAAATAAGATACAGCCAAAGTTGCCCATCCAAGCACTGTTATTCCTACTAAAAACACCGCTTTGGGAGTGCTCTGGAAGACCCAGAGCCCCCTGATATGGGTCCACACTTCACGGAGTCAACTTCACAAGGTCACCCCAGCTATTTAGGCAAGGGCTATGTTAGCCCTTAAACTTGTCCACACCTCCCACCTCTGTATGGCTGCAACCCCGAATCGTTGGTTCTTCCCCTTCCACTTCACATGCTACAGTCATTGTTCTTTGACAACCCTGGCTTCCAA